CGGCTTGGTTAAATTAAATAAATAAACTTATATATACTTATTTCTAGCTGGTTTCAAATACAGTTACTCTTAATTATTTTCATGCGCAGAAATTTGATACTCATCACTTTGTAGTGAGAAGTTTAAGGAGCATAACTAATGTGAAAATTCGAAAGAGCATCTATGGGCTAAAATTTCTGAAAAAATGGGCGTCGCCCCGTCCTCCAAGAAGTTTGATGAACATATCTCCTAAACCATTTAAATACAATAAAATACAATACAATAACCAAATTCGCTCACAAAAAATTCCTTAAACAACCGACACTGTATGAAATATGAAATCGGATGATAAGCCGGCCCACTCCCCGTATAACGGTTCTGTTAAAAACTACTACAAGCGCGTTAAATTCAAAAAATATATCGGCGTCAGAATAATTAAATTTTACAACCGAGCTTATACTCGGGAACTAGTCGGCTTTCCGTATACAAAGCTCATCAACGTATCCGGAAAAAACTTTGCACAACGAATAGTACCTTTTTGAGTTGTGCCACTTTATGACAATATTGTTCTAATCGGACCCAAACTAGTTCAGCCCCAGATGCCGAAATGTAGACGGTTGTTCTAGTAATTTTTATTAAAACATGCGGATTCAACTTGCCAATTTATATTATTAAATTTGGAAAGATTTTTCCGGCTTTGATCCTGTAAAGCTGCGGAGTATAATAATGTTCGTTACAACCCAACTTATTTCTTTCTTACCTAACTGGAATAACGAATAATCCTAAAAGTTTTCATTTATTTTTAGGAAATTCATTTTGTATTGTACTTTATTGTGTATAACCAATCCTGAAAATTTTTAAACATTTCATTAGTAGGTTATATTTTTGAGGATGATGTCAAACTGGCAAAGCTGCTTTAGATTTCAATTATAAAAGGTCAGTTAAATTTTTCCCTAGTACAAGTTCTCAATAACTTTGCTTAAATAAGCTTCTAGGCTTTTTGAAATCCAATCTCATTTAATTTTTAGATTTAAGGTTAAGTTTTTTAATTTTTCAAAACATCCTTAAAGCGATAGTTGTGCAAGTAGTGATTCCGTTGAAATTAGGATGTAGATCTTAGAACATTCCAACATTCGATGTTCAGTGCTTTCTGTTTCGGTTTATTCTCTTTCTTCTTACTTCTCTTTTCATCCTCAAGCTTCTCTCGCTACATTAGCAAACTTTATGTGTTGATGACGCTCGTTTTCTTGTCACAATTAGGAAAAACTTGGGAACTTTTTCAACTTTTTCTTTTTTACGAAATTACCAGTTATAACCGTTACTAAAGGTAAGTTTGATTGAATGAGTTTTATTTTATCTCCCCAAGTAGTTTCTGGATGTCCTAGACATGTTCGCAGCCGAACCCTACTTTTCATTGGGATATATTCGATAAAATTTCGAATATAATAATCATTTTTGTAAGCGCTAACGGATTAAGCTATATTGCATTAGATTGATTTCGTACTTAAAAAATTGTAAAATTGTTACTGTCAAACATTGCACGCAATCGCCCCGAACTGGTCCATAGAGAGGAATGGCGCTGGGTCCACACACATCGATTAGTGACATCTTTTCAATTAAAACCAGATACATCTTTATGACAATTTTATTTGGAAACCATTTTGCAAACAGATTCTTTAAGTTAAAACATGACTCTTTACGCTACAAATTACCATATAATTATATATACACTGTATAGATTGAAAAATATTTAAAAATGAATTTATTTACAAACATTAAAACTGTCGAAAATCAATTAGAAGCACATTTACTAACTTTATTACAAAGTGAACTTACCTCAGGTTGCTTGCGGGTGTGCATGTGACGATAAACAAATACCAACATAATTACACGTAAATAAACTAATTTCAGGGAAGAAGGGATCCGTGATTGGAATTGGCAGATGACAAGAGAAAACACGAAGACTTTAGAGCTCAAATGATCGCGTCCACCAGCCAGATTTGCTTGGTGTACGATAATTCTTTTAAACCCTCCGACTGCAGTGGAATAATGTGGGACCACCATACCCGTCTCATAGGACAGACCATTATGAAGACGTAAGGCCTTGGCTGGATCGGAGCGTTGTGTTGTACTATAACCAGTACCCATAAGTGGTTGGGTAAATTAACTTGCGACTGGGTGCGCCACACGTGGCATCATCGGCTTGAAATCGAGGTTGTGATGGAAATGCGGTTAAATTGTTTTGGTGAAGAGCGTTCTGAGATTCGGCAGACCTCACTGGATTGGGGAGGCCGTAAACTTATTGCGACACAAGCCGAATTGTTGTACCAAAAAACAGAATTCGTACTTGTGGGAGTAGCATAGAAACTAGTGCTGCCACCGCATTTGACGGACCATAAGCTTGTTACGTATACGCAGACTGTATTATCAATCAAAAGCACTTAACGTGCAGTGTAAAACGAAGTTCACATCATTGTAGTCTAGATCGGAGATCAAAAGGACAGGCATGCGATCGGATAGTACCCAAAATTCTTATTCTCATCGATCTTCACATCGGCAGGAAACACCAAACCGACATCATTCACGATCCACACACACCATGAAACTGTGGCTGATACGGCATGGACGAATGCCAACAGCCGACCGCATTTTGATCAATCAAATTGAATAGCTCATACATCATCGCTCATAACACGTATGTCGTATGCGAATTGGGGCACGTTCATCCAGCACGACAAAATCATGGAAACTATCCTCAACGCGACTCTCATTCGCGCAAAATACGTTGGACACCGCAAACTGGCGATGACTTGCCAGCGACTGAAGAACATAGTACGATAACCATCCGAACCTATGGGTGAGAGTGACATGCCGAAGATACCCTCCTACCCCACTGGAAATTTAAGCCAGCAATGTGAAGTCACCACGTAACGGATCGGGGAAGAAGTATGAGTGGCGAAAAGCGCCCACGATTTATTCTGCTCCCACGAGTATACAACCAAACCATAGCCCAAGTTCATCGAGAGAGTAAGCGAACGCATCATCACATGATTTACCAATATCAACGGGCAACGTTGGCAATAACGTGTTCGCATTAGTGTCATCGCGCGCAGCACGTAGCGGCGTATGGCGTGTTCGTTTGCAAGTCAAAGACATTCACAGCATATGGGCATGGATTGTGGTTGTATTGCCAATGCCCACTGTGCCGGTATCAAGCACCCATAGCCGTCCACACTCATCCGCTTGATGCGATACGCCGTGGTGATGCTGTTCGCACAATCACCAAGCTGTGTTGCTGCGCCAATCGGGGTACAGGTATCGCTCGGCGAACCCGTCACACTTGATCCATATTGATATAGGTCAATGTAGCCGGTATGCCGGAAAAAGTTAAAAAAAAAGGGTATAATATTATATACATAGTCCGCATTCTACGTGAGTAAGCAATTAGATTAAAGGTTCCGCCTGAGTATTAAGACCTGGAACGGATCTGATAAATTTTCATCGAAATCTCTTGTAAATTGAAAAAAAACTTCTTCACTAAGCGCTTAAATGTTTTCCTAATTGGGGCGCGATGTACGATAGTCTCAAGGAAGTCCTGCAAGTTAATCCGACTCAAAATGCTAACAGGAATGGGATTCTTACATGTCGAAATTATGCTTGGAGTTCAACATAGAGTACTAGTTAAAACGTTTCCTATAATGTTACTTGTTCTTCTAGTCTTGGTTGCGATTTTAAGGGGTTAACCACATGTGAATTTCAACAAATCGTTTCCTTTGCGATTTTTAAACAGTCTCAAAATATTCCCTTCTATTTGCAGGAATTTTGAAATTTGTGTAATCGGTCCCAAAATATTAAACACGTATTCTTATAATGCTACTTTCAAAGTTGATTGAGCACGAATTTCTTCCAAAACGCTGGACGATCGACTTAAAATATTTCACGACCTTTCGCTTTTTAAAGCCACTCTGAAGTGTAAATTTTACACAAAAACGAGTTTTTGGAAAGCCGAAATTTATCAAAATCAAAATTTTTATTAGTCCTTCGATCAATAAATAATTGTACTCATTACTTGTAATAACACAATTTTGGTTTGGGTTTTGAGATAATTTTAATAGAAAAATTTACTTCCTCGCCTGAAAACTTTTTCGGAGGTCTTTAAAAACGAGTGTTTTCTGACTTCCAAATGGATATATGGTAATTCTCCTTTTCCTAATTTAATATCATGTTGTTGAGAGGTTGGATTGAGGCATAAATTGGTTTTTTCACAATATTCATAGCCATTCTTATCATGTACTCTTCTCTCAAATCGGTTAAAAATTTTGGTTTCATATGTATAACACTTTTAAACTGAATTTTTAACTCCAACCTGTTATTCAAGTTATTTCACAATTTCTTAAAAGTTTAAGTTTGTGTCAGGTACTTCTAAAAGCAGATTCTTTAGGCCGAATGTTGATATACTCAATACTTATAATGTAATGTAAACTAAGTAAATTAGTTATTGGCTATTTTAGCAAAAGTGTCTGCATAACTATTTCATTCAACTAACTTTAATCGTTCTGTAATTCTCAACAGGTTTATAAATATCTTAATTCACTAAAGCTTGCAAGTTGAATGAATGTTTTCATAGCAAGCGCTTAAAGCTTTGATATTTATAATGAATATAATTTTAATTAGATTACGTACTAGCACTAGTTATGTCAGTGAAACCATTTAACCAGTATATAGTCTTATCACACACATCAGTATCTAAAAGAGGACGAGTACTAGCTTCCGCATTCAGCTACCGTTTTTATTAAACACTGTGTGAGAAACTGGCAAAATTACTTAAATTGCTACTCGAAATTAAAATATTGTGAAAAAACCAATTTGTCAAGACGAAATTAAATTTGTACAACAACAAAAATTGTAAAAACTAAAACCTTGTCTTGTAGTAGCCGCAATTTTATCTCAATTATTTAAATACATACGTCAACTGATTTTAATTTGACAGGCGTTAATTATTGCATTTGTCAACCGGCGTCATGTGTAAGTGTGTACATGATTTTTATCGACACACCTCAATCTGCAGCGTTGTGAATAAATATTTAAATTCAATTCAATAATTTAATGATTTTTGCACAAGTAATTTTTCAAAAATATGCGTGACAAGTTGTCAAATGGCGTTTGTTTGAAAATAAACTGGTCGTTTAACAGATGTATTTTTTGTAACTACTAGTTTCTTTTTTAAATAAATTACACAAACGTGTGCTCATGGTCATAAAGTGTGTAATCCCCTCGTGCCGACCCGCCTTGGCTTCGTGTATTGATATTCAATATAATATATGAATAACAGGCAATTTGCTGCCTAATGGCTATTCATATGTTATATATTTAATTTGTTTGACAGCTTACACATATTAATATTATTAATTAAATTAAGTGTCAGTTGAATTATGTTCAGGTTAAGTGTTGATGTGAGATATTACTGTGCATATTGATTACAAATTTTAATTTATGCTTTATTTAACTGCATTTAATAAATTATATTAATAGACGTGTTTAAAATAAAATATCATAAAATAAACAATTTTCAGTTGTAGACAGGTTCTTCAATTTTTTGGTATTATCGGGTTTGTTGTCGTTTTTAGCTTCGCACATAATAGTACAAGTCTATTATTCGGATCATGTTATATTTGGACTTTTGGATAAATTTAGATACAAACAAGTAAGGAAGGGCTAAATTCGGATGTAACCGAACATTTTATACTCTCGCAAAGTCAAATGGTATACTCGTTTGAGATTTCTTTGTGGATTGACTGATATTTTCGGTAGAAGGTCAACTAGGCACTGGGGTCCACATATTTAGTACTTAGGGGTTTGAACAGTTTCGGTTCGATTTAGACAATTTTTGCCGCAAGGTGGCATACTAATGCATTATTCACGCAAATTTACCCCGATATAATCATTGTACCTGATTTGCATAGTGAAAAGTGTTAGAATCAGATGGAATTGAAATGGTGTTACATGGAAGTAAGCGTGATTGTAGTCCGATTTCGCCCATTTCGCACTATGACATAGAAACATGAAAAAACGATATGCACCGAATTTGGTTGAAATCGGTTGAGCAGATCTCAAGATATGGGTTTCACCTAAAAGTGGACTGTGCCACGCCCACTGACTAATTTTGAACGCGGTTCTATAAATCCAATTTATACCATCTCAGAGATAAGATTTAATGTCTCTGACGGTTTAGTGTTGATTTATCGCGCTTTTAGTAGTTTTAACAGTACCGTTATATGGGGAGTGGGCGGAGTTGCCCCGATTTCAACTATTTTCACACCGTCAATAGAAGTGCTAAAAACATTTGCTTCTAGTGAACTTTGTTATTATAGCATTAGCGGTTTAGGAGATATGCACATTAAACCTATTAGAGCGGGACCACGCCCACTTTTTAAAAAGTTTAACTGCAGATGCCCTCCGTAATGTGATCCTGTACAATAACAGTCTTGATCTTATTGCGGAGGCTTAGTTAGGCAAGTTATTTGTTTTGATTAATGGCATTTGTGGGCGTGGCAGTGGTCCGATTACGCCCATCTGCAATACCAACCGTCTCACGGTACCAAGAAACATGTCTACCAAGTTTCATAAAGATATCTTTAAATTTGATGTAAATGGTAAAAGTTTATATCGTTTTGCTAAGCAAACATTAAGCAATTGAATTTTAAGCTTAAGAGAGGCCGACGACGCCGTCGAGCATCTGGGTACGCGACTGCATTTAAGTGGGTGTCAGTTTAGATAAAGCGTAACATTGCATTGCTAATTTTTCTATTAACATAAGTTCCGCTTCTGTAAATAGTATATTTATACTTAATCGTAAAATTCTTAATGTGTTTCTATGCTTTGATTTTTATAAGCCTGGTGAGAACTGCATCTAAATTATTGTTCAAGGTGTGAATTTTACTCTTCTTGCTGAAATAAAGAGCGCCGTTTAAAACCCAGAGACTCTGTATCGCATAATGTATTCACTTAAGATTAAGAAACTTCAGTAAAATTCACTGAGTAAACAGAATCAAATAATCCTTTGGACAAATTGGTTTAAAAAAGCGACATTTAGCAAAATAAATGTGGAGCTTACATAAATATCAATGATTATTTCCTATTCAGAAGTGTTTTAGTGCCAAAAAATCACACTTTCAAATCTCTCTTACAATATCATAATATATGCCGGAATATATTTTGATGTAATGTATGTATTGGTATTGTATTGTACTTAATATAAAATGGTGGTACCAATATGTCTTGACTACACCCTTGGGACCTTTTCTTATTGAGTATAATGTTCAATTGATTAGTAGAGAATTTAAAATTTTAACACAAATAGTACAAGTGACCCAACGTCTGAACTATAAGGTGGATCCGTTCTTACGACAGTTGGGTCTAAGTAACCGGAACGGACCCGGATTTTTATCCGGCCAAAGACTATCAACTCAGCATAATTCCTCGAAACTACTTCTTACTCCCAGTCAAGCTCCCGGAGCTTCTAGTGAGTCACTATCAATGTGCGTGGCTTGGCGATGTCGTGATAGCGCATAATTTCTCACCTATTTATGGCCGTTTCTGGGCGAATGCTTCCTTCAGACGGTCCAATTGTCGACAGTACAAGTCCGAATTAAGAGTTTGATCGTAGAGGAATAAATCATAGTAGATGATTCCCTGCCAGTTTTGCGAAACACATAGCAAAACTTTTCTGACTATCAATTCCGGCTTTGGCACCGTTTCGTCGGCTCACCACAATTCGACCACGACTGTTTTAGCTTGACGTTGTGATAAAGGACCCACTTTTCAGCATCAGTAACCATTCGCTTCAGAAATGGATCGATTTTGTTGTAATTTAGCAGCGATTTGCAGATGGAAATTCGGTCCATGAGGTTTTTTGCTTTAGCTTCTCTTAATATCCCGTCTAATTTTAATGGTTCCAAATGGTTTATGGTGCAATGTTTAGCTCTCGTTTAATCGAAGCAGTGCTTACGTGATGGTCGTACTCTACAATTTCCATTATTTTATAGATATTTTCTACAATTGGTCTGTCGGATCGTGATGTATTTTTGACATCAAACTTAACAAAAAGCAACGCCGTAGAGAAAAACCCGTGGACTGGAGATAGTTTGTTGGAAAAAAATATCTGCACAAAATTGTTGCAGAGCGCCGGCCTCCACTGCGAATTCCGGGCTCTGGAGCAATATCCTAGATCTGCCTTTCTCTCTTCTAAACGAAATAGAGGAAACCGAAATTGCGCGAGAGTCTGTTACAGAGTCACAATCATGATCATCTTTAAGCTAATAAAAGTAAACAGTAAAAGTAAATCTACATCAAATTCGGCTTGAACCATAATAGCTTGATATAATCTAACCCAGGAGCTACCCGTGCATGAGCACCAGCCACGAAATTCACTTTGCGAAAAAATACGAAAAAACCTTCGAAACTCATTAACCGTAATGCAAAAGGAACAAATTAGTAAAATAGAGCCAAAAGTCCAAATATAACATGATCCGAATAATAGACTTGCACTATTATGTGCGAAGCTAAAAATGACAACAAACCCGATAATATCAAAAAAATTGAAGAACCTGTCTACAACTGAAAATTGTTTATTTTATGATATTTTATTTTAAACACGTCTATTAATATAATTTATTAAATGCAGTTAAATAAAGCATAAATTAAAATTTGTAATCAATATGCACAGTTATATCTCACATCAACACTTAACCTGAACATAATTCAACTGACACTTAATTTAATTAATAATATTAATATGTGAGAGCTGTCAAACAAATTAAATATATAACATATGAATAGCCATTAGGCAGCAAATTACCTGTTATTAATTTATCATATATTATATTGAATATCAATATACGAAGCCAAGGCGGGTCCGCATGAGGGGATTACACACTTTATGCGCATGAGCACACGTTTGTGTAATTTATTTAAAAAAGAAACTAGTAGTTACAAAAAATACATCTGTTAAACGACCAGTTTATTTTCAAACAAACGCCATTTGACAACTTGTCAACGCATATTTTTGAAAAAAAAAATTACTTGTGCAAAAAAATCATTAAATTATTGAATTGAATTTTAAATATTTATTCACAACGCTGCAGATTGAGGTGTGTCGATAAAAATCATGTACACACTTACACATGACGCCGGTTGACAAATGCAATAATTAACGCCTGGTCAAATTAAAATCAGTTGACGTATGTATTTAAATAATTGAGATAAAATTGCGGCTACTACAAGACAAGGTTTTAGTTTTTTACAATTTTTTGTTGTTGTACAAATTTAATTTCGTCTTGACAAATTGGTTTTTTCACATATTTTAATTTCGAGTAGCAATTTAAAGTAATTTTTGCCAGTTTCTCACACAGTGTTTAAATAAAAACGGTAGCTGAATGCGGAAGCTAGTACTACGTCCTCTTTTAGAGATACTGATGTGTGTGATAAGACTATATACTGGTTCCAATGGTTTCACTGACATAACTAGTGCTAGTACGTAATCTAATAAAATTATATTCATTATAAACTATCAAAGCTTTAAGCGCTTGCTATGAAAACATTCATTCAACTTGCAAGCTTTAGTGAATATTAAGATATTTTATAAACCTGTTGAGAATTACAGAACGATTAAAGTTAGTTGAATGAAATAGTTATGCAGACACTTTTTTGGCTAAAATAGCCAATAACTAATTTACTTAGTTTACATTACATTATAAAGTATTGAGTTATATCAACATTCGGCCTAAAGAATCTGCTTGTAGAAGTACCTGACTTACAAACTTAAACTTTTAAGAAATTGTGAAATAACTTGAATAACAGGTTGGAGTTAAAAATTCAGTTTAAAAGTGTTATACATATGAAACCCAAAATTTTTAACCGATTTGTGGAAACAGTGGATACATGATAAGGAATGGCTATGAATATTGTGAAAAACCAATTTATGCTCAATCCAACCTCTCAACAACATGATATTAAATTAGGAAAAGGAGGAATTACCATATATCCATTTGGAAGTCAGAAAACACTCGTTTTTTTAAAGACCTCCGAAAAAAGTTTTCAGGCGAGGAAGTAAATTTTTCTATTTAAAATTATCTCCAAAACCCAAACCAAAAATTGTGTTATTACAAGTAATGAGTACAATTATTTATTGATCGAAGGACTAATAAAAATTTTGATTTTTGATAAAATTTCGGCTTTCCAAAAAAAACTCGTTTTTTGTGTAAAAATTTACACTTCAGAGTGGCTTAAAAAAGCGAAAGGTCGCTTGAATATTTTAAGTCGATCGGTCCAGCGGTTTTGGAGAATTCGTGCTCATCAACTTTGAAAGTAGCATTATAAGAATACGTGTTTAATATTTTGGGACCCGATTACACAAAATTTCAAAATTCCTGCAAATAGAAGGGAATATTTTTGGAGACTGTTTTTAAAATCGCAAAGGAAACGATTTGTTGAAATTCACATGTGGGTATAACCCCTTAAAATCGCAACCAAGACTAGAAGAACAAGATTATACATTTATAGGAAACGTTTTTACTAGTACTCTATGTTGAACTTCCAAGCATAATTTCGACATGTAAGAATTCCCCATTCCTGTTTAAGCATTTTGAGTCGGATTAAAACTTGCAGGACTCCTTGAGACTTATCGTACATTCGCGCCCCAATTAGAAAACATTTAAGCGCTAGTGAAGATATGTTTTTTTTCAATTTACAGAGATTTCGATGAAATATTTATCAGATCCGTTCCAGGTTTAATACTCTGGCGGAACCTTTAATCTAATTGCTTATCTACGTAGAATGCGGACTATGTATATAATATTTATACCCATTTTTTTTAACTTTTTCCAGGCATACCGGCTACATTGACCTATATCAATATGGATCATAGTGTGACGGGTTCGCCGGAGCTGATACCGTACCCCGATTGGCGCAGCAACACAGCTGGTGATTGTGCGAACAGCATCACCACGGCGTATCGCATCAAAGCGGATGAGTGTGGACGGCTATGGGTGCTTGATACCGGCACAGTGGGCATTGGCAATACCACCACCAATCCATGCCCATATGCTGTGAATGTCTTTGACTTGCAAACGAACACGCGCATACGCCG